ATGGAAGTGAGTCACTTCTTTATCCAAGTAGGAAAATCTGTAGCATATCTAAACAAGCAAAACACCCCACGTAAAAAAATAAAAAATTTTAAAAATCGCTTAAGTCAAAGGGAGAGAATAAACTGGAAAGCATTGTGTGAGAAGTTACATCAGTATAGCTAGAGGCTTTAGAAAGTAAACTAGAGGTAAAATTAACACATAAACCTACTGAAAAGTAGGAAAATAATAAGTATTACCACAGGTGTTTTGGATATAAGATGCAGAGAAGGAACTATCCCACTCTCCATTGCTGGAGCAGCATGTGTTTGGGGCATTATACTTCAAGAAAGACTTTGGGAGAGTCCAAAATAGAAGAATGGTGAAGAAGAAAACTGTATATGGATCTCTAGAGATATGTATTTGAAGCAAATCCAGATTCAAATGAAGAATTCAGTATATAGTGGCAATGGACCACTTATAGATGCTCACATGTTAAGAGCAAGACTTTCTGGAAAAGCCCGAAGATACTCACAGAATCTGTGGCATTTGGTACTCCTTGCAGAGTACCAAAAGCAAAGCAGATGTAAAGAAAATGGAAGCTCACTTCCAGGGCTTAATATGATCATAGGAAAATGAGGCTCTGCCCCAGAAATGCTAGAATGATTAAGAAAAAATGATAAATTCAGTTTAATAAATAAAGTGAAAACAATTATCAAATGTGAAGAAAACAATTAGGCTGCACTGGCACTAGAAAATATTGGCAACAAAGAAATTAATTGTAAGAAATACAAAGCTGGGCAACCATGCAGTGAAAATTCACTCCCAATTCTGTAAAATGCAGAGAATCAAGTTAAAAGATAATAGCTTTGAGGTTTAGCAAATGACTTCACAGCCTTGTTGAGATCTGGGTAGTATCAGACTGAAATAACAATGTGAATGGCTGGCAGAATACAGATGTGCAATGCATGTGCAAAGCACAGTAGGGGAAGCATCATTAGCATCATCAAGCGATCATTAGCTAAGATATGCTAATGAGCAAAAGAAACGGTATCCAAAACTGAACAGTCATTAGGTCTGATAGGAAGAAAATGATTTAGGATATTCATCATTACAGAGCCAGGGAAATGTGAATTTAAAAAGTGGTCCTTTAGAATTTGACCAAGAAGACTAGATTCCCAAGATGTGTTTTATCATCATTAATATCTGTGTAATAAATGGGTGTTTTACACATTTACACAGCAGAGGGTTTGTTTGTTTTAAACCATGTAGCCACACGGAACAGAAAAGATGTAGCCCAGTAATTCCTAAATGCAATAAACCATATGTCATAGTCAACCTTTAATATTTCGTGCAGCTGACTGCCACAGCCTTGTGGCTGCCAGACGACCCAAGATACTTCCAGTGAAGGCAAGAGGTGGAGAACAAGCTGTCCTCCTGCCTCCAGAGGCAGCAGCAATGCCCCACCATATTATTGTCAAGCAAAAGGAGATAACGGCTTAGATGCATCAAGATACTGACACTCAAAACAAGTTTCCATTTTATTTGCTACAGTTTTTGTGAGTCTGAAACAAAAACTGTCTTCTGTTCATTTGCTGACCATTTCTGGCAAATATCAGTAGTAGGAAGAAGAGACACAGTTGCAAAATGTGAGGAAGTTGATCTAATACACTTTGGTGTGAGGAAAAAAACAACCCACTAACCTATGAAAGGGAAGGACGTAAAAACAAGCTCCCAGAGTCTAAGTTTGTTCTGACACACTGCTAGATGTAGACTTTAAATGTTCCTTGTGTCTCATTCACAGTCCTGTACAAGAAGCAAAGCACCAGATCCCAAGAAACTAAATGAGTCCAGCATTAAGAGTACCAGTGCCTGAGTACCATCTCTTTATGGGAGCAGGTTCAGGCTGGCTTTCTATACTGAACCTTAAAAACTAGGTAATAATAAATCTCAGCAGATCCAAAGGACAAGGAAAAGACTGCTTTTACAACAGCAGATGGCTTGAGCCAACACAAAAAAACTTCAGGATACACAAAGGCTATTGGAGGTTAACAAGAAGTCAGGCTTTTCTCAGCCTGACTCCTAGCACACACTAAAACCTCCAAACATGACCAAATCCATTTACACAAAGCCTAATAAGATGAGTACTGCCAATCTGAAAATCAATAAAAAGAAATGAGAGCCATTCCAGAAGAATGAATTTACCTTACATACAATCAGAAAGAGAGAATTCCTACAATAAGGAGCTGAACCGGTGCATAACCTGGCCAGCTGCTCAGACTGCTACTGAGTTTTGCACCATTACACAACATTTTTTGTGGGTTCATCAACACTCCAAAGTCAGCAGAAATGCAAGGCGAGAAGGGGGAAACACTTCACTGGTCAGCAGAATGAGATCCAGCACCACCAGTATTAAAAGACTTGCATTTCTATGCTGACTTCAAAACCCTTTTCAGCATGCTATCAGTTGGGTTGGTAAGCATGGTGCCTCTTCCAAAAAAGATTCAAGTTTTCGAGGAATGTTCATTATACCATGCCCCAAAAAATCCTGAAAAAGGTTAAAATCTGCAGAGCTTTTGATCTCTGTTTGGGATACAGTGAGTTCAGAGCCAGTACAAGGCACTGAATCCTGGCCACACTTCTTTATTGAGGAGCATCTTGCCAGGCAAATGGAAACTGAAAATGCTGTGCTTTCACTGTAACATACAAGTCTGTGCAAAACCACAGTAATGTTGGTGGCACAGCAATGACTTGGGACTGGGAGGTGGCCACAGAATTGATTTTAAGGACTGGAGTGCTGCTCGGAAGAGATGATTGTCTCCTCTTGTTCCTCCATTTGAAGAAATACAGACATTCCCAGTGGGACTGAGCTTGCAGAAAGGGACTTCAAAGTAGGTACAACCTTCTGATAACTGGAGACTGAGTATCAGTGTTTTCTGTGACTGCAAAATCATGCAGCAAACACAGTCTCCTTTTAGAATACTACAGCATAAAAAAGGATGGGCTACGGAGTGCCTTCAGACAGGAATGACAGTCCAAATAACTGGTCAGATCTTGGACTCAACTCTAAGGACAACCTAAAATAGGATTTTAGCATGATCTTGTCCTAAAACTCAGGGAACAGTTGCAGAAATCATGGCTAGGGAAATGGGGACGGTTATGTGCTGGGCAGCAGGTTTTGCAGATACAAGAAGTGGCCCCTGGGCTTGTTATAAGGAGCCTTTCCATGGGGTTATGAAAAAAATCCATGGACGTTTAGATGAATATATAATTTCTGTGTAAACATGTAAATAGTTAAAAGTGTCATTTACAATATTATTAATTTCCTTTCTGATTGAACACGTTGCTCTGGATATCACCATCATCAGTAGAGTGGGAAAAGCTGAACTGGGGATGTTGTTACACACTGGGCTGCAGCTATATTAAAATTATAAAAATGAACTATTGTCTTTCAATTTAAATAAAAAGGTAAGCACACTTTCGACATCAAGCAGCTGAAACAACAGTCCCCCTTAAAATACATGTAAATAACTAAAAAAAGGATTATGCAAAGTTCACACAAGCAAAAGTGTATCACTGGCTATTTATTTTGCAGCTTTCAAGGGTGACTATTTTTGCTTTAATTTCTTCAGTTACCATTTGCTTAGTGAAGATGGTTGTTAGCAACTGAAGTAACTGCACTTTTTATCATGTCTCTGAATTTAGTGATGGCAATAATTTCCACTGAGAATTTTAAGGTCAGTTTGGAAATGGGAGAAATCACTCCTACAAAGTGAAAAGTTCTTCACAAAAAAGCTAACGTACTGAAGCCAAGACAACAGATCCAACAAATAGGGAGGGCACGGCTCCCTGCAGAAGTCAGCGGCCTTTGTACCCAACGGACACTCAAGCATGCTGCAAGACAGGTCCAGCTATCTCGCATCTTTGTCCAGAGTCAGCAGTCATTTAAAATATAATGGTTTCTAGCCTGGACAGTAGCATGCATTGAATCTACCTGACCCAGGGAAATTTAAGCAGAAAAAACAGCACAGAGAAATTGGAGCTGTCCTAGTGTGGTTTCTACTTCAAAGTTCATCCACAGTCAGCACTGCCAGTGCTGTTGAGGCACTCTGCCTGCTGACAGCACCAGGCAGGAAGAAGGAACAATTTTATCCTGAAGGTCAGATCCGCCTACTGTGCATGATCTCTCACTCACCAGAAAAGATGGACCATTTGTAGACTTTGGAGGTAAAAGCAATCAATGGTATTTTACTAGTCAGCTACAGGGTCATGGCACTTGTACAGCATAAAAAATTTATCAGCATTTTGACGGGACATGTAAGCATCCTGAGCAATAAACTGAAACATGCTTCTGAAGGACAGCTCTTTCAAGGTCTAGAAAGGCAAACAGCTGGGAATCTTACAGATGTACAACAAGTAAAGCAAAAAATCAGAGTACTACTGGGACAGACTTATGGAAAAGAAGGGCAAGCAGGTCATATAAAGCTCTTTAGAAGCAAATACCCAAACGTGTTGTTTATGTAGTTACTTATGTGCCGTTTGCTTTGGAGAGATAAACATATCCACCCTTCATGAGAACGACTCAAGGGACAGGGAGAAAAAGGAGAACAAAATGTAATACATATCAAAGGATCATTAAATCACCTTTGCAAAGAAGTATCACTCTGCATGCTATTTCCTGCTGCCAACACCACCCTCATTTTTTTTACTCAGTACCACATCTGTAGGTCTCAGGCACGCAAATCAGGACAGGCCAAATCAAGAGTTCAATTGAAATGAGTTCCACAAGACGCAGACGTTTCTGCAGATTTGCTTGCAGCATCACTGATGTACCTTCAAGACCAAACCCTAGATCTTCCGCAGATTATCCAAATTATGTACATGGCTTTTGTCCAGACAACTTACATGGCTGAGAAACTGCCCCAAGGCTATTGAAAAAGCAACCCACCTTTAGCCACCTTTGACACATTCTGTAGACCATTTTCAACCACATTTTAATATTTTTCCCACTTACAACTTCTTACCTGAAGAGTTTTGACTTTTCCTAAAACGTTCTCCTGTGACATTGCTTGGATGGCCTGTTCACTCTCTGTTCTCCCATCAGGTATAAAAATACTGTCATGGGAAAAAGCTCGACTGCCCATAGAGTAATGGGAGGACCTGGAAAAAACGGTTAAAAAATAAATAAGCACAGCAATTAATCTATGAGGGTGACCCTTCATATCATAGCTGCCCTGCTGTATAGATTTTTCCCTCCCTCTTGCCTTCTACATAAAAGCTTTGAACTTTCTTAGAAGAGAGATATCTAAACATGTTCTGTTATCAAAAGTTTAACAAAGGTACATGATTCCTTCACACACAGTTTTCTTCCTTGGAAGGACATAGAGTGGGGTGTTTTTAATAGATGTGTTGAGAAGTTCAATCAATTTTCCTTAGTCTCAAATCTGTTACTTGCGATGTTACTTTCAGGATACAGAGTAGATGATGTCGATGAATACATACATAACCAGACTGCATGTTTAAGAATGCCTGCATTCGTGCTTAGTCCCAGTGCTTGGGACCTGCTCTCATGCACATTCAAAGAAAGGCCCCAAGCAAAGGTAGCTCTATAACACAAAAAGAGGTCATACCTTAGTATAGTATAGTAACCTACTTTTAAAAAGCTACCTCATTTAGCTGTTTATTTAGCTGTTCCTACCACCATGAGTATGATCACATTGGCAAATAAATGTTATCATCAAACCCCCGAACTGATAACCAGCTTATTACACCAACCTGTGTGTGTTTGATTAGCAACAAAGAGCGAGAGATGCCCGTGTGTTACTGTTAAACTAGATATCGATGCCAAGGAGGAGAGTGCATCAGGAACGACCTAGTTATATGGCTCTGTTCTAAACCCACGGGTAAGGGGATTAAACAAAAAGTGGTTTAATTTACTGGAAATTTTAAACGCTCACTAAGAAAATGGAGAAATAATAAAAAAAAAAGGTTTGTGAGTTGTTACCTGGGGCTTTGGGGGCATTCTGGGGGAAAAATATTCAAGTTTGAAAGACATGTTTTATCTCACCTAGAATATTTCATGGTGAGTGGAAAGCCAGTAAAATAAAAACATGATAAAAGCCACAGTAGAAGAAAACTAAACAACTGAGATTGTCTTAAATCTCTCCTTTTAATAACTTATTGGCAACTCTATGGAACCCATTTATAGCTTCAGTAAACAAACAATCTGGAAGAAAAAAAAGATACTTTTTATACTAATCTAACCAACACAACCTTCTACATGTGATAAAAACATGATCACAGAATCACAGAATGTTAGGGGTTGGATGATAAACAAATACTTCAGCAAAAGCAAGGAAGATGATACTTCCAGAGAGAGGAGTAAGTAAAATAAGAAGAAAAATTAAATCCTTACGTATTTAAGAAAATCAGTATATTATCTTTTTCTGCCTTTTAAAATGTGCTAATTGTTCAAGATATTTCTATTTATACCTTGGGAAAAAAAAAAAATTTGGAATGTATTTATTATATTTTCATCAGATTTTTTCTTGGGGTGTGAACATAATCTTTTTAAGTAAAAACAATATCCTTTTCTTATCAAGGAAGAATCTTGTATAGGGTATCATTAACCTTTTATAACTGATTAAATGATAGGCTATTCTTAACTTTTATAACAAAATTTCTTACAGGAAACCTGAAAATAATAGCAAAAAAGCTCCCTACAACCTCTCCGTCTCTCTAGTTTATATATAAAATACATCTGCACTCAAAAAACAATCAATCCAAGCTTTTGGGGAGAACACACACAGCTCTCTCTATCATTTCATCCTCTGTGCAATCACAGAGTAACTGAAAAAAAAATTTTTTTATCCAGAATTAATATTTGAACAACGTGCTTCTTTTGAAACAAAACAGCACACAATCAAGCAAAGAGCTGGTCAATATTTCACAGCATTTTTAGCCATCAAAGAGGAGGAACATTTAACTGATGCTATACTCTATTTTAGATTTATTTTTTTTTAAATAAAAACCACAACTTGATTGTCTTTGGCTGCTAAAATGCCTTATTTTAGAAACCTTGTATTAGAGAAACCATAAAAGTATATTTTTAAAACCTCTTCTGAAAAGGTTTCTATACTGAGTTGTCATGACTCAACCTGTACACAGAGCTGTTTTAAAATTGCATGGCATTTGAATATATCTACCTTCCTCGACTGTCCAGGAATCAGCCCATGAACCACAGTTTGAGAAATGCCCCTTAAACACATACAAATTCCTAGCAGGCCTGGCTTGCAAAATGAGTGGTTTGGCATGAAGCTGAGTGAACACTGGCTTTTTTCCTATAACCATGTAGGTCTGTTTGAACTGAAAGCTCCAGCATGGCATTCAACAAGGGGAGAAGAAGTCTGCATTCACAACCAAAACTGAGGAGAACATGCAAAATTTGACAAACCAGACGATGCCAACCCCTCCTGCATTTACATCGTTCAATATGTGAAACTGCTGCAGGTGCAGAAGGCAAGGCCAGTGTGCATTTATCGTTTATGATTTAGCTTTGAGCTGAGAGATCTGCTGAGGATGCATAATCCAGGTCAGATTGTGCTCCAGAGAGGATCCTCTCTCAAAGGTTTTTCCAGCAGTACTGTGGCTTAGATACTCGTGTCTTTGTCTCACAGCTATTCACCGTGCATATGACACCATTCTCCCCTTTTACTGTCCAGCGGGTTGGCATTCTCCTACTTAAAATTAGACAGCTCACGTTTATCCCTATTGTTTGTTACAACTAATTAGTAGGCAAAGGTTGCAATTCAGGCACCAAGGAGTTCAGTGACTTGTTTGCAAGTTGTTCATGACCTTACTAATGAATCTGTTAATATTTAAGTTGGGAACAGCCAACCTGCAGCTTTTGGACTCAATAGGGTTTGCTAGCAGTTCAAACCCCAAAACTTCAGCTGACCAGCAGCAGGGATGCTCTGGCAGTGGGAACTGCCCAATAACCTGAGTCCCTGGAATGGAAGAAAAGAGCAACTGCTGAGGTCACTGCTGGTGGACTGCGTAGGAAATGGCTGCTGATGAAGATCTTCCCCATCCTGCTACAGAGCTGAGGACACTTTAGTGATCTAGTCTCACCTCCTGCCTGTGAACTAACCCAGTGAATCTCCTGACTGAGATACACAATACACTAGCTTTTGGCTATGTGCAGATTTGGGTTTGGCTACGCTGATCAGACTTGTTAAAATGTCATTTTGGGACACTGGGTCATGTGAAACCTCTTGGGAGCTTCATGTGACCTGCAATCATAAGTACCTCACCACTGAAAGTCCAACTCTATCTCTGACAAGTGCCTATCTCAGCATCTCTCTCCGACATGCTCCCATAAGCCACCTGCTTTCAGTTTAGGCACTTCCTCATTACATGGCATCACAAATTTTTGTTTCATAGAGCTGAGGCCAAACATATTTGAAAGCTTTTGTCTGCTTTTGTTCTTTTATTAACTTGCTACCAAAACAAACACACTCCAAGTTGTCATAACACATGAAACATTCACCAAAAAACCCACAGTGAATTAACCCAAGACTTCTCTCTGCTGTATCCCCACAAAATGCTTCGCAGATATACTGGATATTTCAGAATTGGGTGACTGAGCAATTCTGATAGCCGCATGTCCAATTACCAGTAAGAATTTTGCTTAAATGTCTATGTAGGCTAAAGTACATTGGAAAAAAAAAACCATATTCACACATTGTAGTAACCTAGTTTCTTTTACAGGTGAGTTTGAATAGCATTTAAGATGACTTCCAGGCTACTTGAACTTTCTGAAAGATCTCTTATTTTACCTATTTAGAGCCCACAATCCTTTCAATCTTCCCAGCTGAGAGTTTGACAGATTATATCACAAAGTTCCTTTTTTCACCTCTTTTTTCACTCCCTTCATGTTCTACTTTTGGAAAGACTGAATTTCTTTGAAGTCATAATACAGTATGAATAATTGAGTGTCCCTCACTGCTACCACCATTCCTATCTCTGCAGTTTTTCTCAGAAGCCTTTATAAAATAATATTCTCATTATCCGCATCTATGGACTGCGCTTCAGAAAACCCTCCCTTCAATCAAAACTCATGCCAACATCAGGAACGGCTTTCGATAGATTCATGGTATGTCAGAGGCCCGGGCTACAGTCACAGCCATGGTCAAAGGTATTACAGTGTCAAACTGCCATATCACTTTCAATAGATGTGGGAAAATAGTGGCATCAGTTTATGAGCACTTCTGTTGATAATACCGACGATGACACTTCAGAGGCTGTTTGTGCTGAAAATAATTGAATCATCATCTGACTCACTTCCAGAAACCTGACTAAATTAAATGAATTATGGATGTGCTATACCAAAATACAAAGCACTTTCAGCAAATCCTTAAAGTTGATCTCACTGAAGATGTGTTGCAACCCAAGTATCATGTTCAAGTTTCAGTCCCAATGCACAAATTTTCAAAATGGATTTTCTCAAAGCAAAGTTAAAATTCCATTTTTTCTCAGAGTTTTCTTTACCACACCTGTGGCCCTCTTCAGATTCCTGAAGATAGGTTGGAATACCTGGTTTCTCAGCAAAACTAAGAACTAAGAACATACTTTTCACCTTCTTTTATTAGGATGAAATGCTTAAGAACCACTACATGTTTGAGGGGTTCTTTGATACACATGGGCTTTGGCACAAAAAGAGTGCACCAGGATATGTCTTTATCTTGAGGGTACCCCAAGAGCATAAAAGTATAGCAGAACCAACCATCCCACAGGATTTTTACAAATAATGAAGCCAGTAGTGTCAAAGAGGTGGGAAACAGAGCAAGACATGGACTATGAGCACCACACCTTGACCACAGACATGACGTGGACTCCTAGCCCAGGTTTAACTGTATTTAGCTGTAAAAAGAGTTGTCTCAAATACATCTTGCTCCTAACTAGCTTTCTTCTGCAGAAAATGAGTATGTTTATCAGACTCTTTGATTAACTCAGTGCCAATAAATTCATTCCCCTGGAAAGGGAGAACACCTTCTGTGGTACTTCAGACTTCTGGAAGAATCCCAGAAAACCACAGGTAAAACAGATTACCTAGATATTGGAAGTATCATAGCTCTAATGTATCTATGTATGAATCTGGC